TAACTGTATTTTATACCTAAAATGTACCAATAAAGTTAATGGGGAAAAAAAAGAGAAATTTCTAAACAAAAATATTTTTAAACAATTGCACAAGAAATAACAGCAAGAATTAACAAATGGGATTATATCAGACTAAGAAGCTTCTGTACAGCAAAAGAATCAATCATTAAAGAGACAACCTATAGAATGAGAAAAAGGGTTTGCCACCTACTTCTCAGACAGAGAACTCAAAAAGAATAAATTGCCTAAAATTAAAGATCTAGTGAAGAGATGAGCAAGAGAAATGAATAGACACAAATGGTCAACAAATACATGAAAAATGCTCATCATCTCTAGCGATTAGAGAAATGCAAATTACAACAACATCAATATTTCATCTTATTCAAAAAAACATGGTAAACATTAAGAAATCAAACAATAACAAATGCTGGTGAGGCTGTGGTGAAAAAGGAACACTCTTTCATTGTTGGTGGGAATGTAAAGTAGTACAATCACTATGGAAATCAGTACGGTGATTTCTCAATGGACTGAAATTAGAAATTCCATATGATTCAACTATCCCCCTGGTAGGATCCTTCCCCCAAAGAGCTTACCTCATTATACTACAGTGATACATGCATAACAATGTTTACAGCAGCAGAATTCATAATAGCTAAATCCTGGAAACAGCACTTATACCCATCAATAGCTGATTGGACCCTGAAACTGAGCAGATCTACAAACTCACCGGCACGGGCCCCAAGAGCATCACCAAGAAGATGATCCACAAGCTCTATAAGTACAGCTCAGACCTGAAGCAGTTTAACCTGATCCCCGCCAAGACCACGTCTGTCAGTGTGGACGGGCTCACCATCCACAACCACCTGCGGCAGCCCAAGAGGCCTGCAGTACCAAAGAAGACCCAGACTCCTAAGTGACCCCGACGCAGCAGAGTCCCAGAGGACACGCCGGCGTATTTATTATTATTTATTATTTCCTCCCTGTGAGTACAAAGCGTGAGGGGTCACAGACCTTTTCTAAGCCTCTGACAAGTGAAGTCCGGGGAAAGCTCGGAAGCCCTGTGTCGAGGCCACACCGCCGTGGTCCGGCCGACCACCGGGCCTCAGACAGGATGCCCTAAGCGGGCCCCAGCTGCGCGTCTCCCTCCCTTGAAGTTCTCCAGAACCGCGATCCGATCCGAGCTGCGCCTGGCCTCCCTGCTCCCTTGCACAATGCCTGAGCCTCTTGCCGGCGGTGTGGTTGCCTGGAGCTCGGGGCAGCAGGCGCCCCTTGGGTCTGGCATTTGAATGGCTTCATAAAACTTCCCTTCCTGTGGGGGGAAAAATTAGCTGCTTGGATAAAGAAGATGTGGTATCTGTATATAATGCAATACTACTGTACTATAAAGAATAACAGATTTGAGACATTTGTGCTAAAATGCATATACCTGGAAAATACAATGTTGCATGAATTAACAGATGCACAAGCTTAGATACCAAATGGTATCCCTCATTTGACTGAGGTAAAGTATAAACAAAAAGAATAATAAAGGATGGATAAAAGGGGACAAATAGATGAATCTCTTGCATTAGAGAAGTTGTCTAAGGAAAGAAGCCAAGAGGTGAGGAGAAAGGGAAGAGGAAATAAGTAAAATAAAGATATCCCATGTACAGGAACCTAATAACCTCAATTAATGTAAACATTATGTTCCATAACATGAGTTATGATTAATAATATCAACAATAATGAAAACTGGGCTAGGGAAATTGGAAGAGGAGAGAGGGAGGGGTAGGCAAGGGGATGGAGATTTAAAAAGTAGAAAAGAAACAAGTTGTGGTATGTACATGTAAACATGCCTCAAGATGGTTATGAACTGCATCACCTGCAAACATGTACTAATAAAAAAACCAAAGAAACAAAATCTAGAAAGAGAGCACAGAGTCATCTGGTGGCTCTCTTTAAGAGCAGAGTAACATAACTCAGAGAAGTCCTTGTGAAACTGACATCTCATTGATGTAACTTTGAAGTGAGCCTGTGTGGCTGGAGGAGTGTCTAGTTATGTGCTAATTGGCTTACATCTGGGTTTCGGTGTCTAATCCAATCAGTGGGGCCCAAGCTTGCATGTTTTATTCATTTTGTAAGGCTTTATAACAAAGTTTCACAAACTCAAGTAGCTTACTCAACAGAAATTTGTCTCACCAGAATCAAGGTGACAATAGGATTGATTCTTTCTGAGGAAGAATGTGTCTTCCCTGGTTTTTAAAGGTTATCTGATGATCTCTGATGTTTTTTGGCTTATAGAATCATCACCCTGATCTCTGCCTTTATCATATCATGAAATTCTCCCTGTACATATTTTTTTGTCCAATAGTCTTTTTATAGGTATTCTAGTGACATCACATTAGAGACCTACTGTACTCCAGTATGCTTTATCTTAATTACATGCTCAACTACTCCATTTATAGATATGGTCACATTCCAAGATCCTGAATTTTCAGGCTTCAACATATAAATTTTGAGGAAACACAATTCATTCCATAATATATGCCCATTAGAATCATCTGAGAAGCTTTAAAAAATACTAATTACTCTAAGCCTAAACTTAACCCTAACCCACACCCAAGCAAAGAACTTAGAATCTCTTGGCAAGGGTCCCAGGCAATAGGCAACATGGGCTTTGGAAGGTCAGTCTTCAGAGTGTAGGAGTGGTAGGGCCAGTTCTCCAAGAAGTGCATGGAATACATGAGGAAGAGGTAGAAACCTGACCATGAAAGGAGAAGGGATTCTGGGAAGGTAATCAAAAGTATCCACTGTGATGCTTAATTTTATATATCAGCTTCACTGGATTAATGGATAAACAGATAACTGGTAAAACATTATTTCTGGGTGTGTCTTTGAGGGTGTTTTCAGAGTATATTAGCATTTGCATTAGTGAGCTGAGTAAAGATCTTCTCTCACCATTGTGAATGGGCATTATCCAATCCTTGGAGGGTCTAAATAGGATAAAAAGATGAAGGAATGGTGAATTTTGATCTGGAACATTCATTTTCTCCTGCCCTTAAAAACTAGAACTCCAGGTTGGAGTCTGATGCCTTTGGTCTCTGATACTTAAACCAGTGACTCTATAGATTTTCATGTCTTCAAATTTAGACTGAATTTCACCATTGGCTTCCCTGGATCTCCAGCTTGTAGATGGCAAATGGTGGGATATTTTTACCCTTCATAATTACATTAGACAATTCCCACAATAAATCCCTTCATATGTCACTTTATATCCTATTGGTTCTGTTTCTCTGGAGAATTTTGGCTCCTTAATACACCACCACAGTATTGGAAAATACAGCAGCATTTTGTTGGTCAGGTAGGACAATCAACTGTTTAGTCATTGATGAAAGGCAAGCAAGCAGGCCCCATATGGTGTGTGTTAATTCTCAGTAGAGAATGGGGAGAATATAGGGAATAGAAGATAACACATGTGGGAAAGATCATGGAGGGCAATAATCTGAATAATAGGGCAAGAATAAGAGACCCAGCTAAACTGCCTGGATGAAACAAGTGAAATTGGTGAGACATTGTAATCTGTGGGCTTGAAAGACACTCCATCCCACCTTAGACACCAAAAACACCAGTTCTACCACAACATTTACTCTTGGATACAGGACTGCGGCAGCTGGTATACTCAGTAACTTGAGATTGCCTTAAAAAGTGGCAACAGATGTACGTTAATGGAAAAGAAATAGAATATGGCAAATAGGGAATAGGACCTTTGATTTCAGGTCTTTTACAACTTCAAAGATTCAGATCTCAAAGATTCAGACTTCAGCCTTGGCATGAGGCCTCTGTGTCCAGTATGTAGCACTACATTTGTGGACATAGAGCAAAGACCCAGAAGGAGCGATAGTGCGAACATTGGAAAATATGACATGTAAGACATATTCTCTGGAGGATCCAGGAAGTAAGGAATTGTGTGATAATTGAAAAAATGGAGAGCTCACTTTCGTCAGGTCAGTAAGTTAATATTTGTTCACAGTACTTAAAAAAAGAAAAGCCATGGTTTCCCTCTTCCAGATCTCTGCCTTGGACCTCTCCTCCTTCCTTTCAAGCTACTGCTCTTGATTTTTATCACAAGGACGGAATTTTTATCCAGGGCATCCCAATTTTGTTTGATCACTCAAGGTGTGATTTTGAACTTATTGGTCTCAGCACTCGACTCAACTCTCAGCTCTGCAGCTCCTCCTGTCTCTAACATTCTTTGCAACTTCAGGTGAGGGATCTCTTCTTCCAGTCTTAGTGGGATTGCCATATGCATTGCCTAGGTTTTTATCCCTCTTACCCCAGTCCCAGTTATGGATGGGCTTTTAGGTACTGAGTTCATTTAGCAAAGCTTAATTCCATTCCTGCCTTAATTCCGAACTTGCTTTATTATTTTTGAAAGCACTCTTGGGTTGATAAGGTAACCAAAAGGAGAAGGAGAAGAAAAGGGAAATATTATTAACCATCTAAGGGCCAAATACTTTTTCATTATATATAGTCATTTTTAACCTCACATCAAGCCTATGAAGACGATGCCACTATCTACTAAAGCATAGGAAAGACAAATAAGTCCCTAAATCTCCTAGTTAATAAACAATAGAGCTAGAATTCAGATTTATAGCATACCCTAAAGCCTGCTTTCTTTTCATGACACTAACAGATTCAATATGTCTAAGGATTTTGTTTTGTTTTCAATTTTGGCTTATGTGGCAGGCTGAAAGCTAAAAGATAAGAATCAGGTAAGCTACTGTCCTTGAGGGAAAAAACATAAATTTCCAAGAAGACAGTGTGAGGAATAAGATAAACCTTGGGCTTTCAATTATTATTTCTTCAAACACGTTTCTTCCTTTTTTTTCTTTAACTCATATTATGCAATGTTCATATGCATTCTCTGGAACCCTGCTCATTTTTTTTATTTTTTAAAATTTTCCTCAGACTAGATAATCTCTATTGATTTACCTTCAAGTTATCTTGAGTGTTTTCTGCCATTTCCATCTACTGTCAAGCCCATAAAATGAAATTTTCATTTGTTATTGTACTGTTAACTCCAAAACTTTTGTTTCTGATTTACATTTTATATTTCTTCATGGGTATTCTTTATTTGGCCAATATCATTCTCATGCTTTTCTTTAATCCATTGAGCATAGTCTCCTTTAGTTCTTTGAATATATTTGTAATAACTAATTTGAAGTATTTTTCTAGTAAGTCTAACATCTGGGCATCTTCAGGAAGAGACAACTTTTTTCTTGTGCACACGCATGACTTTCCTGCATTCCTTTGCATGTTCTATATATGTTTTGAAAATGAAAATTTAAGTAATAAAATGTGGCAACTTGGGATATCATATTACTTCCCTTGCAGTGCTTCATGTTGTTACTGCTACCGGTTTTTTGTTTATTGGATTGATTCTTTAAAGTCTTTATTCTGTTGTGTGTGACCACTGTAATCTCTGTCTCCCTAGCTTGGTATCAGCTAATGATGGGGAGGAGATTTCCTTACAAGGATTCATTCTTAGAAGGATTCATTCATTCCTACAAGGATTCATTCTTTCTCTCTGCCTTTGCTGAGGGCTCTTTGTGTGTTCTGGGAAGTGTTCTCAACACTCCAGCAGGCAATTTGCTGCCCTGCTCTAGCCATCACTTACTGCTTGCACAAAGCCTCAAAGTCAGGCAGAGGTGAGAGATTAGGACCTTCTCAGCTTATTCTGGAGAATGTTAACAGCCCTGCACATGGATATGGTCTTCTAGATCCCCAGAAGAATGTCAGAGGTTTCAAAGTTCTTTGTGGACGTGTTATTCCATGATTTTTCCTTTTAAGTTTTCATCAGCCTTCTGTTGCTCCCAAGTGATATTTCCCCTGAGGTAGCTATGATTGTTTTTGAAAACATTCTAGGGATAAAGCTGATATGAAGAACCAATTCTAAGTGAGCTCTTTAATAAGAAGAGATCCCACTTGTTGATTGTTTGTGCTAGTTCACGGGCAACTGAGGTTTTGTTCATAAAATCTTTTCCTACACCGATGTCTTCAAGAGTTCTACCTAACCTCTGTTTCAACTGGTTCAGAGTTTCTATTTTAATATTTAGATCTTTAATCCATTTCAATTTTAGTTTAGTTCATGGTGAGAGATATAGGTCTAGTTTTAATCTTTGGCAAGTTGAAACCCAATATTTAGAGCACCATTTATTAAAGAGGCTATCTTTCCTCCAGTGAGGGTGTTTGGCTCCTTTGTCGAAGATGAGATGGCTGAGTGTGTCTGGTGTTGTTTCTGAATCTTCCAATCTGTTCCACTGGTCCTCAGGTCTGTTTCTTTGCCAGTACCATGCTGTTTTTATCACAGTAGCTTTGTAGTAGAGTTGCAAGATGGGGATTAAGATACCCCCTGCCATGTCTCTGTTACCTAGAATTGCTTTTGCTATTCTGGGTCTCTTCTTGTTCCAAATGAATTTTTGGATTGTTTTCTCAAGGTCCGTGAAGTATGCTGCTGGGATCTCAATTGGAATTGCATTGAATCTATATAGCAGTTTTGGAAGTATGGTCGTTTTCACTATATTAATCCTTCCTACCCAGGAGCAGGGGATGTCTGTCCAT